TTGTTTCCTTTCGTGTAGTCGTTTTTAATCTATTTCACTATATATGGAATGGTGATGGCTCAACAATATTTCTTTAAGCATCTCTACCTTTTTATAAGTCAAAAAACCTCACTACTACTTAAATAGGATATGCAGTGGCGGAGCTAGATAGGGTGTTGGGAGTACTAGAGTGTAACATTTGTAGATCTGGGCTAGTCACTTTAGAGACAATGAGTGTCAAAAATGATTTTTTGATAGAACATTATTTAGAATAAATAATCTTAACCAAGTTATAGTATATGTCAAAAAGGTTATGTACATATAAAGAACGCCGAAATCCGAGTTATAACGAAGAAGTTATGACTCGTCAAAGGTTTACGGCAAACCGGCATGACACCGAAAATCGTAAAAAGTGAATTTACGATAAAATACATTCTAGCCTTATCGATCTAGACGAAAGTTGTAGTATATGTTAAACTGAGAGCGTGCATAAAAAGAACGTCCAAATCTAACTTCGTATGTGGAAATTATGATTTTTCTAAGATTTAGCATAGCAGGGCACAACACGAAATTCAAATTTTAGATCGGTCGATTTTCAGCTAAAATAATCTAAACGAGAAATGAAGATATTGTTAATAGGAGTTAAACGATAAAAATACAGATGAAAACGGAGCTCGTATGCGAAAGATATGGACGAAGCTTAGTCTCTACTCTTTGAGCGTGGCGAATTCGATACAGTTTTGTAACTCCGAGATACAATGAGAATTAGCCAACAGTGTCTAAATGAAAGTTGTGTACTCATAAATACCAACCCGTGGATATAAATAACATCGAAAACGAAGCTCGTATGCGAAAGATATGGATGAAGCTTAGTCTATACTTTTCGAGCGCGGCGAATTCGAATACAGTTTTGTAATCTGAGATACAATAAGAATTAGCCGACGGGGTCTAAATGAAAGTTGTATTACTTGTAAATACCAACACGTGGATATAATAACGTAGAAAACGGAGCTCGTACGCGGAAGATACGGATGAAGCTTAGAGACTACTCTACGATAAAATCCTTATAAATAAAGGATGAATCCTTCATATTTTCTTCACACCATAACCTCTTTTTCTCTCTATAACTTCTCTCTAGCCTCCTTAAACCCCTCCCAAGTCTAGGGAACCTCTCTAGCACGAGAAGGAAGCCCCGGAGCGCCCAAAGGCTCCGATAAGAAAAGCTTTCGACTTGGAAACATTGCTCCAACGAAGCCCGATTTTTTAATAAAAACCCACTATAAGTGAGCTATGCCTACACTATTTCTAATATAGTTTTTATTTAAATATAGTAATGTTATTAGGCTCTTATAATAATAATAATAATGCGAAGTGTTGTTCGAGTTTGGAATCATCACTTTTACAAGTGAGTGCATGGTCTCTTTCGTCTTACACATAGATATGAAGTAATTAATATAAATTAGGTGTTGTGAGTGCATTGTTACTTTCATCTTACACATAGATATGAAATATTTAATATAAATTACGTGTAGTGAGTGCATAGTGACTTTCATCTTACACATAGATATGAAGTATTTTATATAAATTACGTGTCATGTGTGCATATTATCTGGATACTTGCTGTCTATGTTGGATTAATGATTTTATACATGTTTTAAATGATTTAAACTATATATTTATTTTATATCTACAAATATGTTGTGATAAAACATGGGTAGATGAAATAGTTGATGTGTGATGAAATAAAATGATGAGAGATAGGTGATGATAGGAAGGTGATGATAATTAGGTGATGATGAATCGGTGATGTAGGATGAAAGATACTATAACCTTGTCCGACAATTTGGAGATGTAGTCATCTACCAGAGTATAGATGGCGACCACGGACTATTATAGACACCCCGTGGAAACACCAGCAGGCTCATAACCTGTAGGTGATGAATTACGAGTTCAGGCAATGTTGTAACTACGTATTCATGTGATGATACTCTAACCCCGTACTATGAATTACGAGTTCAGACGATGTTGTAACTACGTATTCATGCGTTGATACCCAAACCCTTGTTGGGCACGTATTGAGGGAGTAATCCCTGAATCAATATTGTCTATGCGATGTAGGCGATGATCCTTAGGGAGAGTCGTTAGGAACAAACATATAAGGAAATCTGATGTAAGGAGATGAGAGGTAAATATGATGTAGGAGACGGCCCTTAGGATAAATCCTCAGGGAAGGTACTTAGGAATAAAGAAGATAATGAGGAAGGGTAATTGGGTTAATTGTTTGATGATTAAACATAATAATTATATTATTGTGGGTTGAAAACCTTATGTACTCACCAAGTTTCCCAACCTGACCCACTCAGTTTACTTGTATCACAGGTGACGATGTGAAGTTACATTACACTGATAGGTTAAGAAGATATAGATCACTAGTGTAAATGAATATAAGTTCTGTTTATGCTTATGTTTATGTATTGACGATGTCATCCCAAATGTTTTAAAAGGAATAAAAATACATTTCTTCGGAAATGCTTTGAAAATGAAATTATCATGGTTTTCTGGGAACAAATTCCGTAATGTTTTTATTGAAAGTGATACTTTGATTTTTATAAAACATAAACAAAATCGACATTTTCTGGCCATGAAAACGGGGATGTCACGTAGAGTACCCCAAAAAATTGTTTTTTATATATAAAAAATATTATTTGTGAACATGTTTCATGTAATTGTACCCCTAACTAAAGAGATTATAATATGTTTTTTAATGTCCGATATTGGATATATATATATATATATATATATATATATATATATATATATATTGGATAACTATATATAATATATATTGACAATGTTTGTACCCCCATATCAAAATTCATGTTTCCGCCACTAAGGATACGGTGGATAGAATATGGTTATTAGCAACCTCTGTATCAGAAAAGGAAAATTATAGATACAGTTAAATGAAGAGTCATTAGAGTACGGTTAAATGAAACAAAGAACCGCATTACATTATTGGTTTAAATAAAACTTCCATATGTCTTGTACATTGTTTTATCTATTTGTGTGCTAGTGGTGTGGGTTAATTTAAATATAAAAGTCAAAATATTTGAAAACTTTGAATTTATAAAAAAATAATAATAATAATAATGTATTATTACTATTATTATTAAAAAAATTATCTTTTAAATTTAAACAAATAATTTAATAAATAAATAAAATAAACTAATGCGTTTTAATTTGAGATTTTTGAAATTAAAGCATAACTTCATTAATAAAGTTGATATCCATTAATTTTTCTAGAGTCGTTGTGGTATATATTGGCTACAAGGGTGAGTAAAACAAAACCCAAAAGCCGAGAAAACTGAAACCGAAAGCCTGACAAAAATGATGGTTTGGGTTTGAGTTTTCTAAAACCCAAATATTGAATTTGATTTCAGTTTCATTAATTGGGTTTACCTTATCATATATTTTGCTTGCTAATCTTTAACTATTAGAATATACTAAAGTTTTAATGTGTCTTTAAACTTATAACATATGTTTAACTAATTAATGTTATCACCTAGCTAAGATATGAGTTAGTAGGCGGCTTTTCGGTCAAATAAGCTTTGAAAAAATAAACTAGTGTCGAAACAAAATTATTAATATCGATGTCATATCTAAGATCGTTTACATTTTGCAAGATCATTATCGTAAATCGAAGTGAAATCATAAGATCGAATCGGGATCAAAAGATCCTACCAAAATGAACTATTTTTCAAGGTTGCTTGCTAGATCTTGTTTGTATGTACAATTATAATTTATAACTTGATGTTTATTAAGATATTGATGATAAAACTTCATTTAACTTATTAAGCGTGGAACATAATTCTTCTTGTTGAAAACTACAAAAAAAATTAGAAAGAAAACAAATTAATAAGATTTTTTTGACCTTATTATATATATATATATATATATATATATATATATATATATATATATATATATATATATATATATATATATATATATATATATGATCACAAAAAGAATAAGATGAGTATCATGATATTTTATCTAATTCAAGATAACTGATTAAGTGGTGATACTTTATAAGGTTTTTTGTGATTTATAATGCTTGATTTCAAGTTGAATAAGTGAATATTTGAGACTTAACTATATAAACAGACTAAGGACATGATATTTGGTCGGTTTAAGATCCTAATATAGATTTTGCTTCATATAGATTCTAGTATGATCGGGATTGTTTTTGTTTCTGAGATTTTAAAATCCTAAGATAAAAATGGTAATTTTAACAATTATGGTCAAAACCTTTTCACCTTAAAATATTTTTAAACTTTCATGTGAATTTAGAAACTCTATTTATCAGAGTTTTTAAAAATTTAAAAGCATTTTATTAACCGCAATTAAGTTTTATTTTTCATTGGAATATAATTTGAGACTTTTGTTCGATTGCATTTATTTTGCGAAAAAAAAAAAAGTAAACTTAATTGAACAATATTTTTATGGATGCTTTAATAATATTAAAATGTAGATAAATAGAATTTTATTAATGAATATCCAATTGGGGGTATTATTATTTATTAGTTACAATAGTAATATAATGTTAATAATATAAATCATAATAAAAATAATTTTAAACTGTGAAGAATATTACAAGCAGTATAATAAAGTAGGAATAAAATTTGGAAACATGCATGGTTGGTTAATTTTCATTTTTTATTATTCTTGAACCGTTAATCACACATCCCATATTCTCGTCCCAAACTTTGAATCCTCAATTAAGAGACATACCCAAGATTTGTTAACTTTGAACCCTCAAAGGGTAAGCTTTTGAACAAAAAAGAAATCTTAACTTAAGTTATTAATTTACAAAAGTTGAAATCAACGTGTTACACATTTACTTAGAAACTTACAACCCAGGGTACGAAATGATGCCAACTTGCTTCATGTTGTTTAACGACATGCAACTTCTAATATCATATCATTTTAAATTGTATACCAGATACCACCCTGCTGCGATGCTAATGTCCCCGTCATCACCATTTCCGCCACCAGCACCATCGGCGTCACCACCAACACGTAGAGGTTACCTATGCGAGGTTTGGCATCACTTGACTGCAAAAGCTGACGATCCTAAAGCCGCAAAGAGAACTGATGCGATCTTGATAGCTGCATCAGTGATTGCAGCTATGAACTTCCAAGCAGTGATCAGCCCACCTCGTGGCATTTACCAAGAAACTAGATACAACCTCAAGCATCAGATATACAAAGCAGGAGAAGCCATTGGTGCTCATCTTGATCCACAGGCGTATAAGAATTTCTATCTGGCCAACACCATTTCCTTTACTTCTTCTATGAGCGCCATGTTTCTGCTTCTTTGTAGCGTATCATTACAAAGAAGGATTTTCACGATCCTTACCACAGCCACGATGTTTGCAGCAATTACGGCAACAACATACAGTTATGCGCTGGCGTTAGAATCCATCACACCTTCACAAGAGAGGTCATGGCTTTTTGTACAAAAAATAGTCACGATAGCTTTGGGCGGGTGGCTAGTGGTGGCTACTTTAATCTTCTTCGGTTTCCTTTGGACTCAATATGAAGGGGCTCCAACGCATAAATGGCTTGTGAAGCATGTTCCTGCTTTACGCAACTTTATTATTCATGCATGATGTTACGAGTCTGTATACTAATTGGCTTTTTACAGCTAATTGTTGTTTTTATCTTTCCCGAATAAAAGGCTTCGGCTTTTAAATCCTCAATTTCAGTTATTGTGTAAAGACTTTCCGTTTTAATATTATGAGTGGTTTCATATTAGACTCGTTAAGTGTGCAGACCACATCATTCGGGTAATAGAAGAGATTGCTCATTGTCTTATATGTTGGCATATATTTTCTCTTTTTACCGATATGGGATTGGGCTTGCATCCCAACAATCTCATTCATGGGGGCAGTGTGGTGAAGCTAGAACAAAAAACAATGCGGTTCCTTATGTATGTGAAACCGAAAAAAATGACAGAGTATATAATACTTGTGGCGGGCTAGTGTCTGTCAGAAGGGCGGTGTTGGGCCGGTAGCAATGGTCAGATGGCGAACGGCAGAGGGTGGAACTGGCGGTTGGGTGGGAGCGAGTATCAGGGTGATATCGTATGATGCTTCAGAGATGTTGATCATGCCTCAACCCAATCAACATTTTATATTCCAAGCCTTTTTTGCTATTTTATCCCTTTTTTGTTTAATTTTAAATAGACTAGACTATTATCAAATTATTACATTTTAAGTGGATCGAAGCATTGGGCTATTTTAAATGGATTGAAATACAAACTATAGGCTTCATACATTTTGATCCATTTTCCTTTTTGGCAAATTTCATAAGGTATGTCCTTGAAAATTTATAAGGTGATTCCAAATATTTTTTTCATCCATTTTCCTTTTTGGCAAATTTCATAAGGTATGTCCTTGAAAATTTATAAGGTGATTCCAAATATTTTTTTCATACATAACTTGTACTATATTTTTTTTTTAAATAAATGGGTCTCAAGACTCATATTCACAAAGCATAGATACGCTCTACATGGGGTGTAGGGGCAACCCCCGCCCCACAGTATAGACTTATATTATAAGTAGCATTGTCGGTCAGTTGTGGTGGTGGGAAAGGTGGTGGATGTGTAAGGATCGGATGGCGCTACATAATTATTTATAATTATTACTAAATCATCACGCCGATACACCAGAGGGTTAGAGCGGTAGATGTGAATTATATGGTTGAGGTTGAATTTCAAGATCTCTATTTTATTTTGAATCTCAAAGGAACATATATATATATATATATATATATATATATATATATATATATATATATATATATATATATATATATATATATATATTGTAACATCCTTAAATTTTACGCCAAATTTAAACTTTTTCAAACATAAATAAAAACCAAATAGCATTGTTTACAAAAAGTTTTCAAATCATTTTCCATCAAAGTGTCCCAAAATCATAACATAAGGATGAGGAGCGATACGGTCACGCCTTCGCCTTCCCATGATCTCCTGAAGTACCTGAAACAATAAACTGAAAACTGTAAGCCCGAGGGCTTAGTGAGCTACCCCCAAAATACCAATACCACACTGATAATACCATATTAGTAATAATCAATCAATCAACATGCATACTGGGCCATCGGCCTGACTGGACCGCCCGACCGAACCTACAGTCTGTTTGAATCTATCTCGAGCCTTCGGCATGATTGGTCCGCCACATGGGCCTACAGTCTCCCCGGATCGCTCATAGGATATGTTGGCCTTCAGCACAAAGCAAGACCGCCTCAACCCAACCACAAGCAAATAACCATGTGCGCTTACTATCATATACATCCATATACAAACATCAAACACATCTGTCACACTGATCATCAATCATAGAATTCTCTTGTAACTAGAGTACCGACCTAGCAGGTCACTAACATACCAATCCCTGCAGATCATAAGAGCATAACATACTGTCTACCCTAATTCCGATCTAACAGATCATAACCACATGTAGCATACCATAACAATAACAACTAAAGGGTCGGCCTTGATGCCGTAGACCCTATCGATATAGTGAGGATAACTCACCTCGCAGATGTCGACACGAAGGGTAAACTCCAACTCTCGGATCACTTGACACAGGCTCCACCACCTATTATCATAGTACATCATACTCATAAGTCCTTAACCTTATAAGGTACTCCATAACCCACTAGTCAACCCCCTGGTCAAAGTCAAAGTCCTCAGTCAAGGTCAACAATCCATGTTGACCTTAACTCGCTGAGTACCCTTGGCTACTCGCCAAGTTCCCTAAAGTACATTCCAACACGCCGAGTCATCGGAGTGACTCGTCGAGTTTCCTTTGATTTTCGATCAAACTTTAAGGCCACCCGTCGAGTTCCCTCCTTGCAATTCGACGGATACACACTCATACATATCCAAGAGAAAACTCATCTGACTCGCCGAGTTGTTCTTCAACTCGTCAAGTTTATGGCAAACTTCATCGGACTCGCCGAGTTGTTCATCCAACTCGCCGAGTTGCGACTCGACTCGCCGAGTCCATTCAGTCCTTTTTCCATACAGACTAGTTTTGAGCCATGCAGCGGCTCCAACTAATAGATCCAAGCCTCTAGGGCATGCTTATCACGTAAAGTTGCAAACTTTACGTGCATGCATGGCTATAAAGGCTCTAAACGCCTAATTTAAGTTCTTAATGGAACTTTATGCTCAAGAGGGACCTTAATCACAACCAAGACTGTGACTTTATGCTTTTAGAATCCAAGGAGGGTCCAGATCTGAAGTTACAACTTCAGATCTATCCCATAGCTCATCATACCAACTTGAAAATCCATAAAAAGCCCTAGAAGCTCAACAAAAAGGAAAAAGGGAAGTAAGGATGGCACTTTGATACCTCTAAAGGATGCTAGCTGAGGTAAATCCTGCTTCCCACTCCTTCTTTGCTTCAATTTCCTTTGCACTCTTAGCTTCTTCCTCCAAGATTCTCTTTTCCAAGCTTCAAACACCACACCAAGGCACACACACGAATTAGGGTTTTAAGGGGGTCTCAAAGACTGTAAAGAGGCCAAAGGAGGCTAAGGCTCCTTTAAATAGATGTGCAAACCCCGGGATTTAGGGTTTCCACTGCCAGCTCCTACTCGTCGAGTCTCAACATGGACTCGTCGAGTAGGTCACTTAAAACGCGATCTCATCTAGCTGCTACTCGACGAGTAAGTCAACCAACTCGTCGAGTAGAGCTTAACCCAATAAATCTTATTTAAGTAATACCTGAGAATTGGGCGTTACATATATATATATATATATATATATATATATATATATATATATATATATATATATATATATGTATATATATATAGGGCTAGGTTATAATGTGGATAGAAAACTATTGTGCGGACGTGTAGATAGTGCTATTCTATGAGAATCACTAAGAAAATAATTTATTTATTAATGTGAATACATTTAGTATCACATAAATATCGTCATTTTAATCAATTCTCAATAAAATTTATTTATTTTTGTTCTCAAACATCTTTTTTCACTCATTTTCATTCTTACAGAATACAACTCAACAAACATTCTGACAGAATAGGAATAATAATAATAAGTCCATAATAATCTTATAGACGATTTATTAGTGAGAATGTGTGATAATGACAATAGTTATGTAAGATTAAACATATTCATATTATCAAACAACATATTTTTTTTGTCATTCTCACAGAATACCACTGTCCATACATCCGCACAATAGATGTTAATCCACATTTGAACCTAGCTCTCTCTCTCTCTCTCTCTCTCTATATATATATATATATATATATATATATATATATATATATATATATATATATATATATATATATATATATATATATATAATCTTAAACATGTAGATAGACCTATAAAATAGGTAATACATGAAATTATGATCAAAGTTTTAAATAACTCTAAACGTGACTTGGTGGCAAAGTCAAGTCTCAAGCTTTTGCGATCTAAGACGAGCTACATATTTTTGTAAGGCATCATTTATGGCGGTAATTTTGTAGATAATTAATAATTTTATATGTAATTTTTATTACTTTTCACTTTTATATACATATATAATTTAAGGCGACATTTTGTCAAAACGTGACGTCAAGTACAAGATTTGGAGTCTTGGCGTGACATTGTGAGATTTTTAGATCCTTAATTCTGAAAAATATTAAAAGCATTTTACAGGATTGTGAATGTTGATTTGAATGTTATTGGAAACTTTAATATTCTAAGCGTCAATAATTTTTAATGTGGTTCGATTCGGTTTATTGTGGCTTTGAATTATTTAGTTTGGTTTAATGTGTTTTTAAATGGAACTCTCTAGAAAATTCTTATTATTTTGGAAAATTTAACGATTATGTCCCAAACTATTACTTTTTTAATAGAAAAGCCTAACAAACCAGTAAATTTCTTCTTTTTAGTCTTTTTGACATATTCAGCTAGTCATCAAACCAAATCGTTAATTTTTCCAAAATAATTGGACTTTTCTTCAAATTTTCTTAAAAATTATATATAGTTTATAAGCCTATTTTTATGTATTTATATGCATTTTAAAATAATTTTTTCATATTTTATATATTTATGTATTTTTTTAAGTTTTTTATATAGTGTTTTATGTATTTTATGTAGCATCTAGATCTTCGAGGTATAAATTTTAAACTGATTTATGACATATTTGTTTGATGGCCACGACGTGGTGGAGGTTTCACCACGATGTTGCATGGCCCGCATGAGAAGTGTTTCTTATTTAGACACCACGATGTGGCACTATATTAGTCACCATGTGGCATCTTGGCATGGGTAAACCCTAAAATTTTGGGCTTAGGCTTTATTTAAAGGAAATAATGGCTAGGGTTTTCTCCAGCCTCAGCCTTCATCACCTCCTAACACCTTGAAGCAAACCCTAATCCCCTCTCCTTCATTTTTGAGCTTATTTTGGTGTTGTTGGTGACTCTTAAAGGAAGAAGAAGGTTTTGTGGTGTAGAGAGCATCTTCACAAGCTTACATATTTCAGTTAAGCACCTTCAGATTTTGGTAAGTCATCAAGGCTTGATCTTTTTGGGTCTTTAGCTATAGATCTAG